CAGCAGCGGGGGGGGGGGCGGTGGGACATGTGGCAAGCGGCAACTGCCCACAGAAGCTGGTGGCAGCCAATTTCACAAGTGGGGCACATGCCCCTCTACCAGTTGCCTATGAAAAGGGGTGTGATGAAATTTACTCAGGCTATATGTGACCACCACAAGGCTATAAGGTATGTTTCGGTACCCACATTTAAGAAAGGGCTTTTATCTTTTTAAAGAAAGTTTGAAAAGATATGAAAGATTAGGCAATATTTAGTTCAGCCTGTAGACTTCACTGATCACTTTGTTATGAATCTGAGAGAGAGGGGGGGAGCTTTTTTTGACTCCTATTACTGAAAATTAAATTAAATGCTAATTTGATTCAGTTGACATTAGGGCGGGAAACAAACAGAAAAAAACCTCATCCCCCTCCCACTAAAACCACTATTTGGAGTAAGAACACCCTTGTGAGTTTTACGCCTTCCAGTATGGACTGGTATGACTTGAGAAAGAAGAGCCTGAGGGCCTTTTTATGTTCTTTATCATGGTATTTGCATACAAATCTTTACAAGCATTATTTAGAACTTGAGAGCTTTTCAGAGATTTCTTCAAGATGTGGATCTGTGGAAATAATTCAGTATCAAGGAAGAACACTGGAATCAGTCAAATTTGAAAAGGACTAGGACAAATGGCTGGGCCACTGTCTGTGACATGCAAAAGGGGTACCGCAAGCTTACAGGATCCCCAAACTATATAAAAGTCACAGCCAACAGTAGGTCTTACAGATTATTTTGTTTAAAAATTGTTTTCAGATATACTTCAAGAGCCTATTTAATTTCAAACAATAGATTTAGCTGTTCATTGCTCACATGGGCTTTATTCCTTTTGTTTCTTCTATTCTTTGAAACACTAAGGAAATGCAGAGAAGCAAAACAACTGATCACCCATATTTGTATGTACCACGGACATAATGATGCAACTAGATATTTATGGATTAAATAGTTTTAACAATGGTTTTGTTTACTTTGGGTAGGGGGTTGCTTTTGTTTTAACAAAGTATGTTGGGAAGACATTTTTTATGTCATTATAGGATATATACTAAAGGTGTTTCCCTAAAATTTGAGGTGCACAGGGCATTATCACTCAAACTAACCTATCAATCAGATTGCTGGAAAGAGCCTGATAGGACTTTGGGGGGATATAACCATTTCCCTCATTAAGTTCTAACAAGCCAGTTTTCATAACTCTTCTAATTTCATTATGTTGCTTATATTTCTTCCTTGCCCATTAACTATAATCCTAATAATCACATATCTGCTTATAGCAGCCTGTCTTTCTTAATTCAACTATCACTTCTGTACACATTCCCCAGGTAGCTGCAGCTTTTTCTGAGTTTGTCAAAGCTGTCAGCCAGATGTAGAGCAAGGAATTAACAGTGAAGAGAGAAGGTAACAACATCATTCCAGAAGGAGACAACTAAATAGTATTAAAGAGACTAAAAACAAGTTCTGAATTTAGAGTGGTAAGCATTAAGTTTTTTGTTGTTCTCAGGACTCTTTGAAAATTTTGGTTGAGGATCTGTGGAAGTAGTGAAATTTAAAAAAATGGAACTTAGGTTAGGCACATGGACTTATGACTCAGCAATCTGTGAAAAGCAAATAAGAAATGAATTAAAAATGTGGATGCTGCCAAAATCCCACCAAGTGAAAAGTTAATGGAATTGATAAAGGAAGTATGGCATTTATTTCCCTAAATGAAGATTAAGCAGACTATTTTTATGGAAAGAGCAAATTGATTTCAGTGGTCCAGTTGGTGACTGATACCTGAAACATGTTTAAAAGATTTCCTTTTTGCAGGGAGGAAAAGGTTATTCATAAACTGTAATTAACTGTAATAAACCATCAGACATCAATAAAGTCTGCAAATCACAGAGGAAGAGATTGCTGAAGACATCGTAATGGGAAATAGCTAATAAGATTTGAAGTGATTTGAAGAATGTGGAAACTATCATGAGAATGACAAAGCATAGAGGAGAAAATATCCTAGCACAGTGATTCTCAGCTAGGGTGTCATGGCACCCTAGGGTACCTGGAGATCCTTTCATGGATGCCACAGAGTGCCACACAATGTTAGGTTTACAATCATGAGTCATGAGGTAAACCCAGAAATTTCAAATAGAAATACATTGTGGTCTTTCTGAGTTCTGCAACAGAAAAACTTTTCAATTTTATTTTTCTGCAGTCAAAAAAGAGTGAAAACAAAGAGCTGGTATTTTCCAAGGGGTGCCTAGAGTCTAAAAAGGTTGAGAACCACTGTCTTAGCAGGACATTTAAACTAACAGAGTTAGAATGGGCCTTCTGGGCTATTGAGTCCAGTCCCCTTAATCTGTAGACAATAATTTCTCAAAAAGGAATGACAAGAGCATCTATTATGGACCTTCTCACATATCTCAGCCATAAAGCACCCTTTTAAAACAAAAAATTGAATTTGCTACAGGTGACTAGAAAAGGAAACAATGGCACTGTAAATGCCTTACCACTGCAATGGAAGGAAAGAAGTTAGGTTAAAATATCCTAACAGAGGACCATTCCCAGCTTTCCTGAGGAAGAAACTTCCTCCACTTTCACTCTATGGACTTTGCTAATCTGACCACGGGAAAACTTCCTGACCTCCTATCTCACAATCAGTTTGACCCTATGCAGTTGAGCTAGACCCACCAAAATATGCACCTGAGTGATTTGTATATATCATAAGAAGCACCAGCACATTCCAGTCAAATTCTCTCCTCCGACTATAGCCAAATCCAATGGTTTAGAGGGAAGTAGAAAAAAAATTCTTCTCAGAGCTATTAATACATTCACAGCAAAAATAAAATTATTCATGGATACTACAGGTGATCAGCAGAAGCCCTGAAATGTGGGATCTTGCACTAAGTTTTCTTTCAGCCCCTTAATAAAGAAATCAAATACTCCATATAAATCCATATACGACATGTTCATGTTACTTATAACACCATCCTACCACACAATATCTTCTATACCACTCTTCTCAAGTGCCATCCTTCTCCTGCCAGATCTGCTTTGCTTTCTGCTCCCAGCCCCCTTTTTAGGCTATGCTAAAGCTTCACTCCTCTGCTTGTTAGAGCCTTTATTCTAATTTGCAGTTTATATTTGTGATCAGTTTGTATCTGTTTCATCTTGTATTATTATTGTACTTTGACTCAAAAACTTCTTCTCCCTCTCTAATATTTATCCCTTGAATGCACTTGTAAAGATTAATAATACTTTTCTCAACCTTCATTTTTGCCAAAGTGAAACTAGCCAAGCTAATATGCCCTAAAACAAGTTAATATACTGTAGTATTGGATTGCCTTATTTACAGCTGGTCATCCTATGTTGCATCAGTTTATTCAAGTCTTGTTCTCTGTGCATTTCTTTCTGTTTATGAGACCTCACCTTATGGCAAAAGTTCTTGGTATTAGTCCTAAAATGCATTTAGATGTTGTGAACTTTGTACATTCTGCTGTTAAATTTCTTACCATTTTTATTGCTCCACTACATAAATTTACTGAATCCTTTCTGTGTAATATTATGATTCTTCTCCATGTGTGCAATATCCTTGAGCTTTGTATCATCAATAGGTGATATTTTGGTCCCAAAAGTCAGGAAGATTATGAACAGCAGGTGACTTGAAACAAGCTAAATGCTCAAAATAATCAAACAGTGATAAAATTAAAGGTGTGAAGGACAGAAAGAAATGAAACATGGAAATAAGAATTTAGGTGAATGTCTGTAGCACAGATAAAGAAAACAAAACATTATTTTATTTTTGGAGGCTTTAGTTTAAAAAGTCAGTAGGAACAGTGAGATGGGAGCATTGCAAGATTGCCTGCATCTAGTCTGTCCAGTGCTAAGCAGAAATGTGACAAAGATAAAAATGCTATTAACTGGTGTATAGGCCAGTGGTGTAAAAATGAGGTTATTAGTGTGTGAGTTCGTGCCGAATTATATAAGGACTGAATTA